GTGACGTGTGTGGTTGTGCTGCTGCCGTGGTCCTGCCAGATGCCTCCTGCTGCTGCTGCCATCATTAGTCATTAGTCATACTTCTACTGTTATTATACACATATGACTATTGTCACACATGTATACTGCCAGATATTAATACATACTTTCAACATATTGTACCACAGTAGCCAGAACTATAACTATAATATTATTACTTTCAATAATGTTGTTGTAACCTACTGTCATTACCTGCATCTCTCTCTCTGTCTCTCTCTCTGTCTCATTGTGTCATGCGGATTACTGTTAATTTATTATGCTGATCTGTTCTGTACGACATCTATTGCACGTCTGTCCGTCCTGGAAGAGGGATCCCTCCTCAGTTGCTCTTCCTGAGGTTTCTACCGTTTTTTTTCCCCGTTAAAGGGTTTTTTTTGGGGAGTTTTTCCTTATCCGCTGCGAGGGTCATAAGGACAGAGGGATGTCGTATGCTGTAAAGCCCTGTGAGGCAAATTGTGATTTGTGATATTGGGCTTTATAAATAAAATTGATTGATTAATTGATTGATGGTCATTTATTTATTACTCATATTTTGTCTTATGAAATTTGTTAGAAAATTTTAGTACTTTTTGAAAGCATGCATCCTTTTTTCACTTATTTCTCTCAAGACTGTTGGTTGTTGCATCACTGTCAATTGTAATTGTAATGGACTGAGCGCTCCTATATGTGCATATGTTTATATGGGTGCTATGACACCTCCCACCATATACCTGTACACCTGTCCTAGCAGGTAGTGGGCTATGTATCTTATGTCAAAGATTTCAGTAAGATGTGTAATTTCCGTGGCCATTGTTTGTTTGTTTGTAATGTTTGTTTTGTATGTTTATTGGAAAATTGTAATAAAAATATCTATAAAAAAAAAAAAAAAAAAGATTGTTATAGTTATCTGTCCTTAGTTTGTTTCCGTATACTGTATACTTAATGAACTGGTCTAACTGTTGTGTAACTACCTTGCAGTCCAGCATATTTGAGGCTCTCCCATCCTGGGATACTGTAACAGCCTCCACCATCTTCTTGTTCTTCTGAGTCGCAGCGGAACAGCAGGACATTCATGTCTGCTAACGTCAGCTTAGACATCAGCCTGTAAAACACACACACAGCTTTAAAATCCACACTTCATATATGCGGCTTTATCAAAATTGATACAGCAGAACCAAACCAGGGATATTGTTTTTTTTTATTCCATTTATTCTTCTTCCTTGCCAAAACCTATCATCTACATTACCCACAACTCAGTGGCTAATAATTTGGTCGGAAATTGGGGTGTGTTACACAAGTAGCAGCTATTCTTATTCATAAGTTTCTTCTTGGACTGCTTCCTTTTTTAAAAAAAGATATTTTGGGGGGCATTTTAGCCTTTAATCGATAGGACAGACAAGCGTGAAAGGGGGAGAGAGAGAGAGAGAGAGAGGGCGTGGCACGCAGCAAAGGGCCATGGGCTGGAGTCGAACCCGGGCCGCTGCGGCTACAGCCTTGTACATGGCAAGTTATTGTCTTTGCTCCCGGGACTTATTCCAGTAACTGTCCCTCAAGTACACACTGACCTGGGAAAAAGGGTGTTCAACTATGCTACTCCGTCAGCTTGGAATCAGTTCCAAGATTACCTGAATCTTCTGGAGTTGGTCTTATTGTGGGGACTGTGCGTAACAGCTGTCTTTCACACACTGTCCATAACAATAACTATGTCAGGTAACAAACTTTGTCGGGCCTGGGTTAGGTTCGGACTTAAAAATCAGAAAGTCTGTCGGGTTCGGGCCGGGCTCGGTTATAATTGTCTCAAACTCAGGTCGGGCTTGGTCAGGAAAATGCAGCCTGAGCCGCGCTCTAGTGTGCTCACCTGTGTGTGCACATGTGTCTGCGGGTGCGGCATCGGGGCCGAACTCCGCCGTGGGCGATACAGAGAGCAGAGGAGAATTGTAAACGCGCGACCATGTAGAGACAGAAATGACATGCCGTCGCATAAACAATATAAGTCATCATGTGTGCCACATAATCGTTTGCATAATCGTGCTTTCAATTTTGACAAAAATAATCGTGATTAGGATTTTTTCAAGCAGCCCTAGTATAGACCTCTTCTACAGGAAAGGTAACCTTAAATGACTTCTGTTGTGATGTGGCGCTATTTAGAAAAAAATAAATAAATAAAATTAACTTGACCTTCAAGGGGGGGCGGAGGGTGTTGTTATAACGATGTATATATAATGGTAGGGGAAACACTGAACTATGTACACAAGAAATTTGTGAGATATCGCATTCACAAGAATGAGACGGATGCAAGGTCACACTGACCTTGACTTTTGACCTATGACTCCAAATCGAATCAGGTCATCACTGAGTCCAAGTTGAAAACATTCTCTAAAAGTGTTCTTAAGATATCGTGTTCACAAGAATAAGAAGCCAAGGTCACAGTGACACTGACCTTTAAACTATGACCACCAAAATCTAATCAGTTCATCACTGAGTCCAAGGGGACATTTGAGCCAAATTTGAGGAAATTCCCTCAAGGCGTTCATAAGATATTGTGTTCACGAAAATGAGACTTACAAGTGTACATAGGGACGTACGGACAGGCAACCCAAAAACATAATGCCTCAAACTATGGCCATTGCTGGTGCGGAGGTATAATAAAAAATAAAGTATAAAACTTTACTTTTACTTTTCTGAATAGTAGTCTTCAGACCTAACTGAAGTTGACTAAAATGACATCACTTGATGACATTTCTCAGATTGTGTGCAGCTCCCTCTTGAGATACTAAAGGCTTTATACCACTTGTTTCACATGTGCAGTAGTGCTCAGATCCCCACAAAGTCTGTGGAGTTTCCTTTTAAAGTTGAGTAACTGTTCGACTCTCATCTATCATTATTTATTTCATTCTTAAAGGATGCTAAAATCTGTTCTTCCAGTAAAAGACAGAGAACCTGTCATGTATCATTAGGGCATGAGCAGCATGCACATGTGTACTTACTGTGCCAAGGGTTTCTGCAGTGCTTCGGGTGGGTTGTCATCTGCCACACTGCCTTTCCTGTACTTTGGGCTGAACTGTGAAAGGTAATACCTCAACACCCCTGCCAACTTCTGGGCCTTGGGGTCCAAACTAACCCTGTGAAGAAGAGAGAGAATCACAGAAAATTGTGTGATTGTGACATTTTGTGATTTATCAAAATGTACAATGCTAATAAATAAGGTTTTGATACACTAAGAACACAATGTTTCTTCAATGATAATGCAGATACTGTACTGATTTTACTTTGGTGGTGAGGTTTTGTGTAGGTCCATATGTAGTTTACCTGAAGGCGATGACGCTGCCAGGTGTCAACTTCTGAAAGATGATTTCCTGCACAAACTCTGATCTTCCTTTAGATGTAACTCCAGCTTGCTTCACCACTGTGCTCTCCTGCAACTATACACACACACATATATA